ATGCCGTCGATCTAGAATTTTATAGATGGCGACGAGCCCCGGCTCGGTTTGCGCGCGGACAGACCGTAACTATTGTTTCCGTTGGGAAACCGAAAGATTTGGATCTATGCCGTATTAAGGGAATGCCGAAGCCGACGGCGAACCCGATAACGTGGAAGCAATCCTTAAAATGTATGTTGCATAAACACTGATACGATTGCGGTATTTTTTGGTATTTCCTGCACGCATGGACTTCACGTAAATATATATAAGTGTGATATAAATGTGAAAGTGCATTACTTCGTTTTACCATATCTAATAAAAAATCTAACTGAGACACATGTAACCCATTTTTCTGCAAACTTTTCGTCTCTTTCAGGCGTCTAAATTTAACTGTAAATGCAAATTTAACTTAAAAATGAAATGTAAACTTAAATTTAATTTAAATGAAAACACAGCGACGTTCTTTGAAATTTTCCTGTTTAGAGCATCGGCACATTTGGCACGAGTTACAGGATTTCTGTATCGGATGAATATTTGCGCCAATTGACAGCTGGAAGTGTCACTTTCGAAATCTTATATCGCGTTTTTATCACATACCGAGCAGTGCCGAGATTCATTTGCGCATGAAATTTCATTACGTAAAAGCACTTATAATTCTGCCCGGTAAATAGAACGGTAAACTTTGCGGGAAATGTCAGGTATTTCGCTGGTCAAGTGTTCAAGTATGGTATCCCCTTGACTCGCCGGAAAGTGGCCGATTGCGGCCGCAACGTAAATCCGTGCATAATGTCGAATCTTAAATCAACCGATTATACACAAGCTCACTTTCTCGCGGTAAATTATCTCGCGCGTTCATCACCGCGTTTTCTCCGCAGGCACGCGCGATATTCCCGTGGGATTCCGCGCGCGAGAAAGAAAATACGCGTTACCTGTATAACTGATTTATTAATCAAAGCCCTCGAGCTCACGCGGACTGGCGCGAGCGGTACTTAAAATTACCGTCGTCTCTTTGTGTTTGTCACCGGTTTGCATATTCTCGCGATTCCCGCGACTAAACTTTATTGACATCCCCGGAAGTTCATAGGAGAATTTCATAACTAGAAATTGCGCGAACTGTACACTGCAATATGAAACTTTATGCCGACAAAGCCACCTCCGCGATGCCGAATAGTGGGTGGAGTTATTTTCGCAGGCGGCGGGGAGCTACTTCCGAAGTTCCGAACTCGAATGGTTCGATTATCGGGCGATGGTAATTTTATTAAAGCCGCGCTATTGGCATTCGCGAGCATTACGTCAGAGTCGGTGATTAAGTTATTTCCGCATGACAAACACTTAAAAGGGCGGGAGACTGAAAAATATCGTTAAACCGGTCGCCCCGCAGGTGTGTTTAGCGCGCTGAAAACTGCGTTCCAATTAAACGCCTCCGTATCTGCCTGCGCGCGCTCGTGCTTCATAAAACTATTTTACCAAAGAGCTCTCGCCCGCAGCTGAGACCAGTTATAATAATTGCGGGCCTTGAGAATCGCAACGCGTATTACCTACCCGGGTAATGCTTTGCGGCCTATTTTTTTTTTTTCATCAGGAGAGATAAGCCACAAATTAACTTTTTATGGTGTAACTTTCGAGGCAGCGTGCGACGCGTGTAATTACCTTCACAACTAATAGCACCTGTGAAATAATCACTCCATTCTCTTTGTTTTCACCGACTCTACATAGTAAAAAAACATTTAGTACTCGGGTGTTAAAATGGGTTTTTGTAAAGACTTTTTTGTAAAAATTTTTCACGTTTCCTGTTTAATTTAACATATTGCACTTACGTTATCTCAATATTTGTCGAGTCCCGATATTCAGCATGCGTAAATTTTGCACTTCAGTATCGGTTAACGTATTAATTGTGTGTTCATTTCCGGCGTAATTCTTGTGTTACTTTCCAACGTGTATTCATCTTGTGTTGAGTTAACACAAAAACTCGCGCGGGACATGTGAGACGTGTTAAATTCAACATGAAATTTTTTCACCGTGCACACTTGTCACGCCCGTTGTCATATCAGTCGTGGCTTCTTTTAAATAAACCGGCATTTAAAAACACGGTGTTCGCCCGCGGAAATAAACGGAGAACTGCTGCCATAAACAATCGGAGAGCGGTTGTACCGGCTCGCTCGCGATACGGCGGGAATGCTCGGTCGCGCTTTTAAACACGATGCGGCGAACGCGTCGTAATTACCGTCGCGGTAAAATCGATATCGACAAAGCCGATAAATCACTTCTCGCGAGAATATTAGAGCAGCCGCTGGCCGATAACAGACGCCTGTATATTCGAGCTCGCCCATTCCCGATAGCGAGTCAACGGCAGGCCCGGGCATCGTTCCAAACCTGAATGACGCCCACTCGAGGAACTTACGCAACGACGCGTGCCAATGCACCGCAAAAACACACTCATTCACGATTCTCACTTCCGCCGTTGCCTCTGGCAAAGACACTGCACTTGGGTCCGCATCGCGACCTGTTTCTCTCTATTCTTTTCAGCCCCTGACCTTTGCATTATTGCAATATTGGATACGTCTCTCGCATATTACGTAATTTCGCGTCGCTCGTATTATTATATCGAGAATCAAACGATATAGGGGACGAAATTCCGATTTGTCTGTTTATTAGAGCTCGCGTCCGCCCTTTTCGCCCCCCCCCC